CCAGTGGGACTTCATCGTCCTTACAAGTAATTAATGCCCATACTGCACAAACAGCATAGGACATGTATTTGGCACCATTTTGCTGCCTCCAGCCATAGTCCAGACCCACTGTTCTGTATGGAAGCCAGAGGATTATTTTCAGAGACTGCAAAAAGCCGAGAAATTTCTTTGCCAGATTATGTTAAATTAATGAGACTGTCTACCCACGTGTTTGCAGTGAACACTGCTGACGAGTCCTTACTTTCTGAGTGTTTCCATGCTGCTCTGTCAGAGGTCTCTCCAGACCCTTGTACCAAAGTACAGAGAAACACTACAGCATTGCAGAAATTATATGAGGGCAAGGATGACCTCTGCATACATATATGCTCAGGTTAACATGTAGCCCATGCTGGACTGCCATGGCTTAGTCAGAAAGTTTTTTTGCAAAGTAAACCCCAGATTTTGGTCAAAAGCCAGACTGGATCACAGCTGAGCTGAATCCAGTTTTATGAAGCATGCCTGAGAGACCATGGAAAACATGATTATGTCCTTTGTTTAAAAAATGTAGTTTTCTAACAGTCAGACAGAACCGAGTCAGTGTTGGGAAGTGTTCTCTAACTTTTAAATATCTGTCTCAGATATATCACTAGAGTTGGCTCCGGCAAATTGGAAGTTTTAGGCCCTCATCAATATATCCACACACAGACCAGATATTATTCTCGTTATTGAAAAACCTTCTCAAGTAAAGATTACTTATAGATGAGATGAATATTGAATAAATGTAATCTGTGGATTAATTAGCTAAAGACCTATGTTAATCAGAAAGCAAGAAAGGGAGAAACATTAGCTCATTAAGCATTTAGCAGCATGTTGTGTGTGCTTCCAGGATTCAGTTACCCTCTCTCCATAACACAACTACTTTTTATTTAACACTTGGAGGTGCACGAGAAGTCCAATGTCCTCATATGTTAAAACTCAAAACTGCCAAATTATATAGCGTTAGTCACCAACGTGAGGAGAAACAAGCTAAATAGTATACGACAAAAAATTAGTGCTACAACTCCACAAATTGCTTGCACTTTGCATACGAAGTCTGACATTTACATAAGTAATAGCTGGGTTCGTGGTCGTGCATTACTTATTCATACCTTGTGTGGAATAGCTCAAAGGTAAACGACTAATCCATTAATTCCCCTCAATCCATAATCCTAAGAAATCATAAACCCTGCAAGACACTTTATCCTCTTAGGAATATCAAGCTCATAAGCTGAGGACGACAGCATGGTCGGTGCTGAAGAATGGCAGCATTTCCCCATTGTATGGCTGTGCAAGCTCAGGTCAGCCCTACACAGAGCTATTTTGGGATCTGTCATCTGTTTGATGCACACGCGCAGACACGGGAAGTCCTCGTGTGCGACCTCTCTCACAGCACACGAGATGTCGCATTGCTCTCCCAGGCCTGCCATCCTTGGAGGCTGTTGCAAAGTTTTTGTATATGTTTCTTTTAACTAAGTACCTTCTATCTTCAAAGACAGACAGGTGTCAAAAGGACATGAAATGGAGTATATTTTTCTTATTTCAAATATAGCATTTTATAGAATATCCCACCTTAAGTTTTTTCCAGGAATATTTCAATGTTGCATATAAACAGCTATACATTTTTTTCTTTAAACTTTCTCTTTTTGACCAACAGTTTTCTGTGTCCAGCCCACCTGAAGTGCACTACAAATGCAGTATCACACAGGCAAAAACAGCCCAGAGGTACAGCGAGATCTTCACCAGCCTGATTCTGGGGAGGAACTACAGATCTCTAAGCACTTACCAAAAATCACAATAGGCAAACAAGGCTGGCCAGTCTGTCGTTTGGCCTAACCATGCTGCACTTTGTCTTGGTCTCAACTTGCATGACACCACTTTGTTGCACTGAACCCTGCTCCTGGAGGCTCCCCAGGCTCAGGGGAGCCTGTCTTCAGCATTTCACTCTCTGGTGCTGCCTGGCCCACCTCAAAAGTGACAAGTGACGGTGTCTCTGCCTGTCCCCCCAAGGATATGTGACGCAAAGGACAAAGACCCCGAGGCTTCTCATCATCCTTGTGTGGCTGCACATCAGCCGCAGGTCAGCCCTTGCTTCTGGAAGAGGAAGACCACATCAGCTGGGGTGGGTTAATTTGTTTATACTGATCTTCAGGCTCTAAGGCAAAGGGAGCAGCAGATCATACACAAAGCAGTTTGTTGTACCATAGGCCAAGTCTGAAAGGTAATGTTGGGGTTTGTCCTTAAGGGTAAATGCTTGGGCAGCCACTTTAATAACCCTCTTCATTAGGAAATAATTGCCAGCCATTATGGACCTCCCTCCTCTCTGTGTGATGGAGTCCAATGAAGCTGGCAGTGTGAAAGATAACGATCCCCACCCATGCAATGGTAAAATGCTGCCATCCACCCTGTAAGAGTGCAGTTTTGCCAGGGTCAATCCTACTACGTTTGACAGTGTAGGTACGGGGGGGAAGCAACATCCAAACAGAGCTTACTGCAAATATCTTCAGCCACTAAACAGCCATACCGATGCGTTGCCTTACGAGCACTGTACAGTACAGCCGCTGTTCCTGCTCTGTCCCATACACTGCGACCACTCAGCTATCACCCCCTCCTATGGTGCGGGGTGATCTCCACCCCATGTGGCAAGGGATGCCACGTGGGGGCTACGGATTTCCTCCGAGTTTGTTGTGCCCTGGGCCGCTGTGACTGCATGAACAACCATCACAACCTTGCCACCACCTCCGTGAACTGGAGTGAAGGTTATAAAATCAACAGATGGGAGTTTTGGCTCAGAGCAGGAGGCAGAGATATTACCTGGCCGCACATTTTGGTACATTGGCATCCCATGAGCTGCCATTCTGGGAGGCAGAGTATTTCTCAGGAAGGAGGTACACAGGTCTCAAAGACGCAGCAAACTGCAGCAAAATGAATCTACAGTCCCTATCATTTTTCAAAATCACGTACTGAGTACCTGTGGGTATGCCAAGTGGCACAAGCAGGTCTGGAGCCTGTGGCTGCCCCAGCTGCAGTGCAGGTGATGGGTGAATTACTGACCATGTGGCGGGGTAGAAACCAGGACGTTCAACTTGCTCCTTCCTGAAGCATTTTGCATACCTCTGGCAATGAGATGCTCACATGAGCATACCCTGAGCGTGCAAACAGCATCTGAGAATGCCTTGGTGGAGAAGAAGGGTGTCCTGAGGCAGAAGCAGTGCCAGCACCGAGCACAGTATCGTGGGGGTGTGATGGGCATCCACACCTCTTTTGCCTCTTACCACCTGATTATCCAGAAACCTGGCTTTCATTTAACAAGGAAAATCCCTAGATCCTCTGTTTGGGAAAGAGGTACTTAGGGCTGAGGCTTGAGGCAACCAAAGTAGCCTGCAGAAAATCCATTTCAGTAGCCCCCAGCAACTGCGAATTTCTCCGTTTTGCCTGGAGCAGTAGTAATGCAATGACCTAGTGATCACATTTGGAACAACTTTTCAACCCACCACAGCAACACATAGGCTTATAGGTGAAACTTCTTCACTGGGAAAACCTTCAAAGACCACTACTGCTGTCTTCAGACCCACCGGTGTGGGGAACACACAGTGGAAATGCCCTGTGTAATGAACTTGTAGGGTTAGAGTTGTTAGTAATGTATGGGCATATACCATACATTAAGTATTTAGCTCAGGCAAGCTGAGCTAAAGTCAAAGGCAGATCAAACAGTCCATGGGATTGGACTTAAAATACTTGAAAGGTGCTTTGGACCAAAATTCAGCGATCAAAAAGAAAGAGACTCTCCTGTTCAGGCTGGCACCTCCCCAGGTGCTGCACTCCACCCAGAGCAGGAGCTGCTGGTGGCAGCAGCCTCAAGCTGATCTCCACAACATTCCTCTCTTTTAAGAGGGCAGAGGGAAATTAATCCTCTCCCTGCCAACACTTGGAAAAAAGTCTTTGTGTACTGTCACCATGCCAGGTCCCCCAAGAGACACCCACGTGAGCCAGGGGTCTACAGCAGACTTCATGGATGGCGCAAGGGTAAGCTTTCCTCTTCGAAAGTCATTCCTGCACAATCTGCATGCCTGCAGGAGAAACCCTGCGCTAGGGGTGCACCGGCTCTCCAGGAAAGCTACAGCTGGGGCAGGTGCTGCAGGTTTTACACCAGAGATTGCTCAGACAAACCTGTCCTTGGCCCATCGAAAGACTGCAAGCTGCAGTGTGTAATACAATACTTTGCAGTACTAAAGGACCTTCTGAATGAGGGTCTCGCATTAATTAATTAAGCCTCAGAGCACCTAGAAGGAAAATCTATCCTATTTTACCAGCAAGTGCAATGAGTATGCAAAGGTCACACAGAATAGAGGAGCAAAGGAAAGAGAGATCCTGGTGTCCTGACTCCTGACTCCTTGCTGCATCTATTAGTTCACGAGTCCCCTACAAAGGACACACATGGAGGACAAAAGGTGACCCACAGCCATGTCCCAAGGGGCACCACACTGAGAAGTTTAATAAGGTGCAGGAGAACGACTAACAGGGTTACACAGATTGAGGCAGGTCAGTAAAGAATATGGCATTAAGAAAATTGATCCTTTCAAAGCCTCCAGCCACATCTTATGTCAGAACCAGACGTGACTTCTGTCTGTGTTTCATACGATACCACCAAGTATCCACCGAAGGGCTTTCCTTCATGTTTAAATAATGAAATGCAATGTAATGCCGACAGGTGCTTTTTCACAGGAGGAAGGGAGACGAAGGGAAAGTGTTTGGGTGGGCTGAGGCAGAGTCCAGGTTTTCCCTGCCTCTCCCACCCGTCCCTGCCCTCCCCTGCCCACATGGCTCGCACGCAGGAGCTCACCAGCGGCTGGATGTGCCCGTCTGTCTGCAGTGCCAAGGAGACAAGCACATGGGCACTGGAAGAGAGAGCAACCCGTATATGATTGGGGTGCGCGTGTGCAGCATAACAGCTACGGTGTCTGTGCAAAAGACGGGAGGCTGTCATGGGGAAGAAAAAGAAATGTGCTTTACAGGTCATCATGGAAGATGGTTGGTATTGCTACGAGATCACTTCAGTTTGGATGCTGCCAAATACTTGAGAAAATGTCTCACGATTTTCCAAGCACATCATTTTCCATCTCTCAAAGATCATGCAATTTCAGTTTGCTCATGCAGGGAACTTTTGTCAATTTGCCAAACTAAAGTAAATATTAAGAGCGTCACTGTAGGAAAAGAATATAATGTATAATCAATAAGGGACGTTCTGCCAAGCTCAGCTGGCGCTTAAGGACTAGCTGTGTAAAGCATCGCGTGTGTAAATCCCAGCAACAAACGCAATTACTCTTTGTTCTTTGTCTTGCAGCTGGAATAGAGATTGATGGACAAGTCGAAAGTGACACAGAGAGCGAAGGTAACGTAGAGATTAAAAAATGCAGTCTTGTGTGAAATACAGCAGGTGATACCTTTTCTTTTTCTCTCTGGCTTGTGACTTGCTCTACAACAGGAACCATTTCATGAGCTACTTGTAAGCAACCAGATTTTTCCCTTGAGGTTTGACTTATAATAGTTATAAGTAAACCACCATTCTTAAGCAGTCTGTCCCCTTTCATCCACGCTCCTGGAGTAGGAGGCTGTCGGAGCCCACATCCCTTGGCAGTCATCCCTAGTAAACCAGGCATCACAGTAAAGCACCACCCTATGCAAGTCTGGGACTGCTTTGCACCACACCAAGATCCTGCTTGCCCCCCCTGTAATGCTTGCTTAGACTGTAACACACTGGTATCTTGATTAATCACGACCACGAGAAGATAAAAATGAAAATGAATTGGAGGCAGGCTGATGGCTGTTAGGAAAATCGGGAAGAGCCAGTGACAGGATTAAAAACAGCTTTAACCCTGTCTGTATAGTAAATAAAGAGAAATAGCTAAGGGGTAGGATTATAACACTAAATAAAGAGAGATAGCTAAGAGGTAAGATCATAACAGCATTGGATAGGTGATAAGAATGTAGATGCTACTGCAAAAATGGTTTACAAATGTGTCTGTATGATCTATAAAATATGAGACAGTAATTAGCAAATGACTGGGATTTACTTTTTTAATCATATCCATCTTTGCCACACAGGCAAACAAGGTAATAAGATAAAAGTAACAGATGAATGCTCCACATTTAACCTAATATTTGATAGGTTGCAAATGAAAACTATCATAGTTGTCTACCCAAAATGAACATTGTCCCAAAGAGGATGGGTGGTCCTTTGACCTAAATCACTAACTGAAATTCAGCTGAGATGCACCATTACATTGTAACTGAAACCTGCGTAATGGCTCTTGAGAAATAAGTTGGAAGCTCCTTCTCATTCTCGGTGACAAGTGTGACACCACCACCTACTAATTTTTTACCACTAGCAAGGAAAAACTATTTGCTTGTTATTAATTTCTAACTTTTCACCAAAACAAAAAAGCAGATACTCAAATTCTTTTTGCTTCTATTTTCTTCGCCTTTTAGGCTGCTCATTTTTCACTCTGGATCCCACTCCAGCACAACTTCCTTCTTCCACTACAACTTTTCCAACCCTGAGGAAAATGCCAAAATTACAAATTTCTTTTTTTTTTTTTGTTTGAAAACTCTGTTTTCACCAGTAAGAAATTTTGGAAAATTAGAAGCCAAAAGAATCTGGAAAACTTACTATTGATTTTAATGTACTTAGTGGCAAAAGGGATGGAGGGGCTTGAGGTTTTTTGAATTATTTTTTCCCCTTTCCATAATACTCTGCAGTTAAATCATGCTCCATTTCAGTCCTTCAAACTGGAAGCACTTCTGACTTCTGGACAAATTAGTTTCTTAGCTTGCAATGCCAATAAGAATGAAAAGTGCATCAGGGACTATCTATTTTTTTTTCTTCTCTGGATATAGACCTTACTATAGAAAAGAAAACTCAGAGAAACAAGACCTGGTGCTGCCTAAGCTGCACCTTTTCTTTATATAAATAGAAGACCTCCATCCTCCGCCTTGAAAAGTAAACAGCTTTCAAGGACATTGCACCAACAAGCACACTACATACTGTTTAACTGGCTGCAATTTCTGTTTCTGTTGCTCTGGTGTGTTTACAGGGCAGAAAGATATCTGTCTGTGCTCTCTGATGGATGGGCTTTTGCATTTGTAACTAACTTCCAATTTTCTTATGGTCACATATCTGTCACTGATGTGCTAAAATGAGTCGTACTGTCTTAAAGGAGAGTTGCATAACCAAAGAGTTGGACGTGGCTCTTGGATGGGGCGTAACGCAAAGTCCATCGAGGTCAATGGGTATCTGCTCATTGACTTTGCTAGGGTTTGCATCAGGCATCCTGGCTGCCTGTGCTTTTCTGATGAATCCTTATTTTGCCAGCACGGAAAGCTAAGTGTTTCCCAAAGCACTTGTTTTTTATCCCTTGCAGAAGATGAAGTAAAGGACAAGAAACCTAAGAAACAGCCCCTCAGGGAAACCAGCAGAGCAAGCAGACTTGAAAGGAAAAAGCGTGAGAAAGACAAAGAAGATGAAAGCAAAGAGGAAGACAGTTGTAGCCAACAAAACAGAGATTCTAGGAGAAACAACTACCAAAGAAAAAACAATGATGGAAAAAAGGCAGGAGAGGAAGGAAGCTGGCAGAGAGAGAGAGGCAAAAAGGCTCCTACCAAAGATCAAAAGGAGTCAGAAAACAAGGGAAGGAAAACAAACAAGAAAGGAAAGGAAGGGGAGAACAAACAGAAGACAGACAGGAAAAACAGGTAATTAAACAATCCCTGAGTACAGTGCCTTGTGTCAGGCTGGCATCAGTATCACCGTGCCAGTGGCATATGGGTCAGAACTGCAAAACCAATAGACTACGAATAAGTTACTGCTCTCCCAAAAAAGATACAACAGTGGAAAACTACTGTGAAATGCCACACAACCAAACTGTTCCCAAGGTCTTCTGTCATTATCATTTCTCAGACGGGATCAGATCCACACATGTAGTGGAGTCCTAGTGCCTACTGCTGGGGGTAGAAAAGCACTTCTAAACAAGACAGCTTCACCGACACAGACCTGGCCACATTTTTTTGGTTGGTCTATGGAAACATTCAGGTTAAAATGGATCTTTCATGTTTTCAAGTTTCCTTCTCTTCCAAATCTTGCTTGTCCCAACCCTCTGCTTCTCCCCATATCTTCCATTTTGTTCTGAAGGTGTGAAAAACATTTCCCCAGAGCCAGCTGAAGCCCTAGACAATGCTTCTGTAGAGGAAGCATGGTCCAAAGCACAATGTCAGGCGAGTTATGGTGGGGTGCAATCACCTCTTCATTATCCTGGCAGGAAGCAGCCTTGCCCTGAGCGCAAAAGGGCCGCGCTGGCATTGCACCGAGCCGGGGGACAGTGAGGCACTGTGCCCACATCAAAGTGGGATGCCCGGGGGCCAGCAGCACTGTGCCCACCCCAAGCAAGACCTCCCCTCTAACTCCTGCGAGTTTTTCTATTTTGTGCCCTTTATTTTGTGTCTCTCCCAGTACTACTTCTGCTTCTTCCAACTCATCCGACGAGGAGTCGCTGTCAGAGGAAGAGCTCGCAATGCTGATGGAGCAGGTGGAGCAAAAGAAAAAACTGATTTCCACCATGAGGAACAAGCCCTGGAGGATGGTGGAGAAGCTCTCGGTGCTCAGGTACCCGTCACACCGGGAACCCACACCGCTGGGGTCTTTGCTGACTGTCAGATGAACTTTGCCTTTCCTAGAAATTGCATGTTTGCTGGTTCTGCTGTAACACACCAGTCTCAGAAAAAGCAACTGGCAGAGCCTGGCCAGCCTGTCTGGGTTTAAATGATCAGAGTTAAAATGTGGAATTTGATTTTCAGCCTCTGTAACCAAAGAACAGACAAGGTGCAAATCTGTTCAACTGATACCCATGGCCAGGTCATTCTACCCTTGTATTTAAAACCAAATGACTCACTACCGTCAGGCTACTTGTTAAAGCAAGCTGTGTGCCTTGGTTTGCTTATTCATGCCCATTGTCAGACAGAAATCAGAGCAGCAAAGTGCCATGTTACTTCACGCTCCTGAGACAGGGCTGCATGGAAAAAACACTGTATTATTTGCAGGTGGTTATGGAGCAAAGATAATATTGCCACCCAGCCCACGCTGAATGTGGGAACAACTCAGGCAGCTGCAGAGACCCCTTAGTGCAGGGCAATGGGGATAGTGGGGCAGGGCAGACCAGGAAAATCAAAACCCACAGGTCAACAGGGAACATCTCATAAAAAACATTCCCACGTCGAGGCAATGATTCAAATCCCAACTCTATTGGTTAAAAATCCTCTGAAACCCCTTTCTATCTATCAGGAGACCTTTCGAAATAGCATTGCAAGGCATGCACAGCCCCATGGGGAGTGGTGATGCCCCCGTTCCATGTTTGCCAAGAGGCTGCTCAAAGCTGCAGTGACCAGGCTGTGAAGGCTGGCAGTCACTGTGTGTCTCTGCTTCTTTCTTTCACACCCTGAAGGCCAAGACCTGCTCTATCTTCCATTAAAATCAGGAGCCTTGAACACTGCCAATTATTTCTAAAAATCTGGGTAAAGATCTATACAGGGAAACTGTATTAAAGCAGCTTTTCTATCTCACAGGCATGCTACAAGCCTGAGCTCATTACAAATAAAATCTTATGACCTTAAAAGTCCAAAGTTCTGCAAGAAAAGAAAAAAAAGAAAAGCAGTATTATTTCTGACACATTTTTGCTTTGGTGTGGCATCCTGGCTAAAATTCTGCCTCGGATCATTTTGATAATGTACCTCCATCCTTTCATCTTATCCTTGAACCATGGCAATCATTACTACCCGCTAATGCACCTAAACAAAATTGTTGCATTACTTGTGCGGGGGTCTCCAGAAAGGCTCTCAAAGTGCTGTACATTCATTAGTTATTTTGGCTGCACAAACTCAACCCTGAGACAAGAAAGGATTAGCCCCATTGCACAGATGAGGAATGTGAAACACAGAGCATGGAACAGTACGTTCAAGACTTAGAAATCTCACTTTAGGTTTGCAAATAAAGTTGCAGGTGATTTTCCCAAGGTTACAGGCTGAACTAGCCAACTATTTCTATCAAGTAGAAGTCCATCTTTCCCACAGACTTAGAATTGCAAAGGACCTCCCAGCTCCGGAAATTTAATCTCTTCTCATGATGTATTAGCAACACCAATATACGATATAATTTTATTCACCAACTAAGCATACTCTAACAGCATCTACCTAAGTTCTTTTCTCTGTATTTCCCTTTAGAAACCCTATTCTAAAACTAAATTCAATTTGCAGCTTGATTTTACTCCTGACTAGCATACGCTTATTTCTCTGGTGCTGAGATTATGCTGTCAGGTCAATTGCACATCTGATATTTATGCAGGGAGGTGTTTGTGGAGGGAAATTCTGCATCCTCTTGGAGTTTGTTTCACTAGAAAATGTTATTTTCTTCCCGACTGAAGCACCAGGAGAGAGAAGTTATAGCAGGCATGCCGGGGTGGGAGAGCTCTGGAGTGAGAGGAACAGGCAGGCTTTTGGTCTACACTTAGGGAGAAGTGTGGAACAAGATTTGGGACACACCTCTGCACGAACCCGAGTGCTTTGGGGACCTGTTAGCCAGCCCTAGGTGGGCGTGCGAGCTTTACATGGCACAGCAACACCACCAGCAGATAGCAGCCAGGACCCAGACCAAACCCCCACCTTCGCACGAGCACGGCTGCTTTCCCACCAGTGCAGGCAGAGGTGAAAAGCTAAAGACCCCTTTGCTGTTTCAATAACCTGCTTGTTTATTCTCCAATTAGGGAGGCACAAGCTTTTGTAGAGAAGTTTGAAGGAGCTCTGGGAAAAGGGAAAGGCAAAAAGTTGTACGCATATAAGATGATGATGGCAAAGGTAAGTGCTGCAATGATGTCAGGGAAAAGCTTGGATACCTTGTTATGTATTCAGCACATTTCTGGTAGAGTTTATTAACCTGTATTTGGCAAAAGGACACCAGGAAATCACAATAAAACTTCCTGCCTGCATTCAAAAAAATACTAGCCAGCTTCTAAATCTATGACTATTACAGAAAGAATAGGGAGAAATTTCCCTCCACCTGAATCTCATTGTGATCTTCCCTGAAGCAAGGGAGGGTTTGCAGGAGCAGGGAAAACCACAGCTTGCTGGTTGCAATCTCCAAAACCTGGATCTGTGAGACAAGGCACCCCTAAAGGGGAGAGAGGCCGTGCCAAAGTCTTGCACTGCCCCATGGACTCCTGTAAAACTTCATCTTTCCCAGTAATGAGAACAGGGAGAATTATGACTGTGTTTTAAGATTGAAATTGGTAGCCAAGTTGCATGTTGTCATGGAGATTATATTGAGAAGTGGAAAAACGGAGCCAGGCCTGAGACGATGAAATCAATGGGAGTTTAGCCACTGGTCTGATGAGGAAGGATTCATGCTCAGAGTTTTATCAAATTAAATTTTGTTTTAAATAGAGTTGGTTCTGCATCAAGTCTTTCAATCCAGAGCGAGGTCTGAATTTTCTACCCCTATATAATATGGTAATCTCATAGCACAACTGCAGCTTTCCAAAAGCCTGGGAAGGTTAAAACTCAGATAATGAATGTGAACACTTGGGGGCGGGGGGGCTTTTGGTTTGAAGGTAGCTTCTGAAACAGTCCAGAAGATCAGACCCAGACCAGAGTTTTTACTTTGGACTTTACACCCACTCCTAGCAATACTACCAAACCCTGACATTAGAAAACCCTGCAGATGAAGCAGCCTCCCTCTTTGCATCTCTCTGCTCACTGCGGTGTTGTCTTGTTTCAGAAATGGGTGAAATTTAAGAGAGACTTTGACAATTTTAAAACCCAGTGCATACCCTGGGAGATGAAGATAAAAGAAGTGGAGAGTAAGTGGAAGTTGCTGTGCGGTGGCAGCGAGACATTTTGTAAGACAGCTTTGCCTTCATCCAAACAATGCTCCAGCTCGCTGGTCCCCAGTCTCCGCTCACTCTGGGCACCAGTGCCAAACAAGGAGCACGCACCCTGGGCAGCTCCGGGCTTTGCTGTCTCTATCAGCAGTGGGGACTGTCGGGAGGGTCTTGGGCAACATGCTGGGGAGACCTGAGGATAAAGGAGTCCGGGTCTTGCTGAGGACAGTTTAACCCTCCTAAACTGCTAACCATGAAGTGTCTTCTGGTTTAAGGTCACTTTGGCTCCTCAGTCGCCTCCTACTTCATATTTCTGCGGTGGATGTACGGAGTAAATCTTGTTCTTTTTGGATTAATATTTGGACTGGTTATAATTCCAGAGGTAAGTGCTTAATTCTCCTTTCAGTAATATCATGCCCATTGCTTAACATGAACATGAGATTGATAGCACAAGCAAGTGTCTTACAACAGGCAGCGGTTTAGAAAAATGAAATGTATAAGGATGATTATTTACAAAGAACAACTTACAAGGCTGTTAATGACACAGGAGCAAAAGTTAGACTGAAATCAGGAGACCTAAATGCTATCAAAAATCCTGCCCATCCAACAGCTAAAACAGGAGCTCAAAAACCTAATTTAAGGCTAGTTTTACATTTTGACTAAAGTGAAAAACATGACCTATGAATCCTAGGTACAACTCAGGTCCGTAAGAGCCATAAGAAATGGACTGCGCTCTGAAAGTGATTAAGAAACCCCTCCTTTTGGGCCCTCCGAGGGGCACGGCCCCGAGGCAGCAGCCATGACACAGCCCTGCAGGAAAAGCCGTGGAGGGAAGGAAAAAACAATTTCCCAGCACTTTGCCAACTAACATTTGTTTGGGAAATATCCGTTTTCTGTAATTCTAATTCAGATGATTCACAAGGAAGAGTTTTATTTTTAGTTTTTCTATTTCTCGCTGTTCTTGGAGAAGGAAAAGGATCTCATAGCCAACATTATATGATCATTTATCAAAGAATTTTTTAATGTCGCTATTACAGCTCTGGCTAAATTACTTCGTGCAGTCTTTAAAGGCTGTGCAATCCACAGACAGTGGCATCTGTTCTGTTCAATGCAGATCTTTATGGAGCAAAAATGCAGCACAGAGTGTCTCTCCTGAGGACTGTGCTTTTGTTCTTCTCAATGCGGTCGCTCACACTATCGAAAGTAAAAGCTCTGTTTCCTCCCAGGATGAAGAGACATAACCATTAGCACTGAACAACACAAATGAATTTTGTCAGGAACTATGCATATGGTAGAAGACTAAACAGCTTCTGTCTTTAAAGTATGCATACTGTTACTCATTGCCTACTGAGCTGTTACGAATGGAGAGTAGCTGGGCAATAAACATTTAATCATAAATGATTTTAAAATTAATTAGCTCTAAAAAATAAGTGATAGATTATATGCTAGGACCTTTCTAGGCTATGAATGCTAATGAGATATTTTGGTATAGGCACCAGTCAGAGTCTGCTTGTAAATATATTATTAACTGCCCATAGCCCTTGACGTTCTTTGTCTGGACTTCAATAGCTGCTGGACTTGCTGCAAGACCTGCTTTGCTGGTGCCATCAGGAGAAGCTGTGCCATGAAAACTGTTCTTTGCATCATTTTATCATATGCTTTTTGCCCAAACCTAACTGCCCTTCATTTCACCTTGAGATAATTTTTCAATTCAAGACTATATAATACAAAATATACTGCAAGCTCGACCCAGTCCTCTTGACTTCTCTCAGAGGAGGAGTCCTGCATAAATAGGTAAAGCTAATCCCTTTACTGCATTAGACCCGTGAAGTTCAAGCAAAGAACTTCTTGCTAAACTAAGGGCATTTAAACCGCAGCTGTTCATTGAGTTCCTTGGCAAAATACTTCCTGTGCAATGGATGTTATCAGGGAAAGGCCAGTCCTCTGGTTATTTGGGTGAAATTAATTCTAAATACTTTAAACTGCTGCTCCGGTATTAAGAAATAAAATATATATTAAAATCAACAAAAAGGAAAACCAACCAAAAGCAAACCAATAGGGACGCGTTAAGAAAAAAACTGCAAAAAACTGTACAGCGTGTTATACTATACATGCATCACTGCTACTGATGTTCACCAGGTCCTGATGGGAATGCCATACGGGAGCATGCCAAGGAAAACCGTACCCCGGGCTGAACAAGCAACAGCTATGGATTTTTCAGTTCTTTGGGATTTTGAGGTAAGCACAGGAGCGTTAATCATAAGAGATCAGTTGAATACCTCCTAAAACCCTTCAGAAGTTAGTGGCGCTACAGGGATGAATTTGTTCCAAGATAAACCAGCAATGCACCTATTTCTTCCAGAAGACACCTGCTGCCACAAAATCTTTGTGGATCTCCAGAGATTTCTGGCCAAAACAGCATGTGCACATGCAGGCACCTGCATATGGATTTGAACTACTTCCATATGCATATGTGCTGGCTGGCATATGTCACACACGTGTATGTGCGTATACACACAAACACACACAGACGTATATTCCTTGGGTTTGCAGGAATAAAGCAGATGCACTTTTATTCCAAAAGGGACATATCACATCCCAACACGGCTGACTAACACCACCCAAAATATGTCTGTCTGAGGTCAATGAGGTGCAACGGGACGAAGTAAAATCTACTAAGGCCAGTAGAATTATACAGTTCCACACTGAAGGAAGCTAAAGCAGATTTAGGAACCATGTGTCCTTTTACGTACACAGTATTTTTATTCATGAAGCACAAGAAGCCAAAGTTAGGTTTTTCTATGAGCATTAGTAGAAGCAGGTGACTATGTAAACTGCTCAGTGATGAGCTTCGTGCAACTCACTTAAACCATGTTCACAGAGTTGCCTCGTGGACTCAGGCAAAAAAAAAAAGATCCTTTTTCAGAGGAAAAAACACCCAATAAATATATTTCTGCTCTATTTTAAATCTACACAGAACATCTATAGAAATCTATGTCATCTCAAATTCATAATGTAGAATTTTATTCTGAAAAAAACCAAAAAAAATTATATGCAGAAGAGCCATTTTACTTCCAACTAGAAAGGCAGCCAGCATGCAGGTGAAATGCAAGAGCTGCTCCAAACCAGGCAGCCAGAAGGTGAGTTCAAGCTGCAGACCCCCTTCGCAGGCAAGGAGCACCTTGCCATAGCACTGAACTTGCTCATAGCCTTGGGAAGGGGATCGCTCCCCACGTCCCTGCCATCCCTGTTCCCCTGAAATATTTAGATGAGCTTGAAGCTGGAACCAAAGTTTAGGACTTGACCCAAAGGGAAAGCCAGAGTTTCCAGACACCTGCAAGTGCTTGGCTGCAACCCTGACTCACAACCTCCCCCCCCAGTTACTCTTTGCCTTTGAAGATTTAGGCCAAAGGGATTAAGTGTTTTTAGAGGACAGCCCAAAAAAGAAAAAGATGTGTGCAAGGGGTGAAGAGATTCTGCTGTGGCCGATACCTTGGGATCTGACTTTCAAAGCTGCTACTTCTGGAAATATTTTTTAAATGCTTGTTGGTGCTGGCCTACACATTACAGGCATGGGACCCAGTCCTTCTGTAATAAGCCCCATCACTATTTCCTTAGCTAAAAAAAACCCCAACAACTACTTTAATGTAAGCCAGGTTATTTAAATGAATTTATTAATAAGGCTTCAAATATTGGTGTGTCTAGGAACCTGACAGGGCCAGACCTCCATTCAACACCCATTTTCTGCTGAGGATCCTTTTAGCTCTTGCTCTCCCCCAGCACTTTCATCCACTTGCCAGAATCCAAAATTCAAAGGTGAATTAGCAACATTTTGAATAACATTACACTAAATGAAAAGCTCATTTGAGCAGACCACTAAAAAGACAAGAAGCAGCATTTAAACTCATTCATCTAGGGAAAAAAAAACAAAAACAAAACCAAAAAACCAACAAAAATAAAACTCCAAAACAAACAAAAAAAACGCCTGCAGGAGTGTTGCCGTACTGCAGCTGCTGCTTTTATCTGGGAGACCATAAACCGTACACGTATCTGTAAGGAAATTTACTCTTGGATGATGCTGTACCATTGCATGAAAGGCTGGCTACCATGACCTGCCAGTCTCCTGGCTGTGGCTTAGCGCATACATCTATATTCCCCTGCTGTCACCGAGGGCTTGATCCTCTGAACCCCTCTGCCGTACACATCCCCATCCCGTACCCACTCCCTTGCTGCTTGACACCAGGGAGCGATCACGCAAGCTTGAGAAGCAATCTCCAGCTATGGGGCACCGATGTACACCTATACCCTCTGCAGCCAGAAGATGTCAAATGAAACCCTTCACAGAGGCTTGCCCTTTGAAAATGAACAGATACTTATTTCAGCATGCTCCACAGGAGAGGTGCAACAGGGAAATGTATTTCAGAGCAGGCATAAAATGAAGAGTCAATACTGTGATCCTGAAAAATGCATTTCAGGAGAGAGGAGCCAGGGAAATGGATGCTTTGGCAGCAAGGAGGTCACATCATGGATTTCTAGAGAAGCAGAAAGGAATAAATCTCACTTGGACACCAGACACCATGTCTCACAAATGGAGTTTAAAGAACATGCTGGATGATGTGAGCAGAGAAACTAATTTTTCAGTCTCCCCCATTTGATGAATCAAAAAGACAAAGGTTTGGGATTACAATCTGAGAAAAAACCTTCACTAGCGCGTTCCAGGAACATTATATTTTATGAGGCTTTCCTCATTACACCTCTCCAGCACATGTTATACGTAACATGCCAGGAGCCCCAAGCAGCCATGGTGTGGTGTGCCAGCCACAGGCTTGCTGCATTTCCCGAGTGGCTCAGCAGCGCTGGCAGAAACACGTGCAGAGTTGTCCTGTACCTGTGGCACTGCGCTTTGTGCAGGGCAAACACGCAGTTAATGTGGCACCCAGCGATACCAAAGCTTTGTATTAGGTTAGGAATGAAAAAACCTAGCGCTTTGGGGGAGCTTAGTCTAATTGATTAAATGAAGGTGGTCAAAGACTGGAAGAGAGGCCCAGAAAGGTTGTGGGATCTCCACCCTTAGAGATTTTCAAAACTCAGCTGGACGTGGCCCCGAGCCAGAGCACTTAATTTTGAAATTGGCTCTGCTTTGAGCAGGGGGCTTGACTAGATGACCCCCAGAGGTCCCTTCCCATGTAAATTATTCAATGTCTCTAAACAAGATCCATTACAGAGCCTCTGATAGGAGCTTCAAGTTATGTCTCAATTTTGGTCTTTCCAAAGGCTTGATCAGAGGGGAGCTTACTCAAATATCATGGCCAGACTGATTAACTACACTTAACTTATGAGCTGAAAGACAACAGGCAAAAAAAAGAGAAGTACAATATGCAACGATACACATCAACTTGGACAAGATATGACAGAAAAATAGGGAGAGATTGCTAATGCAGATTAGGAGATCTGCACCCTCCTTGAATGCCCAACAGCTTGTACAACAAAAAATAGATCTACTTGAGACAACATGGTTGATATTGTGTCTGAGCTCTGCTTTCCACAGGAAAGTAATGCTTTGATTTTAGTCTTTAGTTATATTTGCTCTGCAGGTGGTAGCTAGTAAAAGGAACTAAGTCTGCAGGGTACCAAGCATCAGCTGCCTCCTGGCTGAAAGGAAAAGTTTCATATCGTGGTGGCAAACCCCTTTGCTACAGCATTTCTACAAGATCTGAGTGTTTGATACTGGCTTAGAGAAGCAGGTGGGCTACAGCCACAAAGAGCAATAAGGAGGTTTTTCTGGAAGGGATGAAACAGTGATGGATAAAAACTACAGTTTAGTTTTGAGCCAGTATCCTCTGACGTGCTCTCCCTCTTCTCCCCTCTCTTAGGAGGATAAGCTCTTAGGAGGATGGTTTTCAAAGGTGACAGGGCAGCAAACAGCCTAGAATGAGACACTAAAAATTCTTCCAAGTTCGTTTGCTTTGTTTTAAATCTTCAGTTTTCACCAGAAACCTCTTTCCTGCAGAAGAAAAGCTGCACAGCTTACACAAAGGTTTGCTTTTGCTTTTTCTCCAGGGCTACATCAAATACTCGGCGCTCTTTTACGGCTACTACAACAACCAGCGGACAATTGGCTGGTTAAAATACAGGCTACCAATGGCATATTTCATGGTGGGGATCAGCATATTCGGCTACAGCCTGATGGTTGTTATAAGATCGTAAGTATGGCTGGCATTGCCTTCTCTGCAAGATCCACCCAGATGTGTATCGCAGCTGGGTTGCCCTCCATGGGCATAGCTCGTGGCTCAGTCCAGCCTTGGCCAGATGGCTGGGGGAACGTGGGGCAAAGGGGTTTGCGTGCCTGTTGTGTTCATGCACTCGGCCTCAGCATCCACCCCTGGCTCTGGCAGGCTGGGTGGACCTGGGCAGTCCCCTGCCTCAGCCATGTGCTCACACGCATTATTTTGAACCCTCCCACCTCCTCCTCCAGCCATTTTCCACCTCCTCCTCTCTGGATCACTTTAACCCTTCCTCCAACATTACTACAGGGCCATCAAACAGGTGGATTTTGTACATGAAGAAGGATTTTACATACAGTGAATTTCAAAGCCTCCTTTTCCTATCCTTTCATTGCAAAAAAAAAAACATTCCTGAAAGCCCATGTGAGTCACACAGATGGTGCGAGGGGTACAGAAAAGAGGCAAATGCTACCAGACTGCTTTTGATGCATCCCCAAAATGATCAGTGGAGTTTTAAAGCGTGGCCCCGATGTCTGTGCCCCTGGTGCACTGTCCCCGAGTACCCAGGGCACCGAGGATGCAGCTGAGGCACGTCTTGCTGCTGAGATGATCTCTGCAAAGCCAAAAATAAAAAAAAAAAACCCTGTCTCTGCCTGGAGGGCACACCATGCAAAGGTTTTCCTTTCTTTGCAAGAAAGAATAAGCCCATGGATTTGTATTGCTGCTGAAACAGGCCCTATTGCTGTGCAGTAGAAAGGGCCTCTTGAGCCTTTGGCTGGAGTGGGACATGGAGATTTGCTGTACATTTGCCATGAAATTGCAGCATCTATTGTCTCGCCTTCCTTGAGGGACCGGTGCTAGGAACTCTAGTGGGAGTTACAGAAGGATTTCAGGGATCAAATAATAGAGAGGAAACAGCAGAATCCATATCTGCTCCTATGCTGATTAACAAGAATAATCCTTTTTCTCTCCCTGCACGATTTGCTGCAAGCTCTTTGGTTCCAGCATTGTGCAACTACTGAAGTCTCACCAAAACTTTGTGTTGCAGCAGGTGTATTGGACAGCACCAGTTGTTTTTGACTAAATTTAACTAACAAAAGGTAACCATAATCATATACTGTACCCTAGGACCCATAAGCACTTAAATAGACTTTCTTCAGGCCCTAGCTAGTGAAAGTAATCCTTAACCTGCTTTAATCACCTACGCTAGGTTTTTTTCTACATTACTGTTTTTAATACAAGACCTGCATAGCCCTGAAGACCCCGTTTGACAGTTCAGTCCTCCTTAAACCTAAAGGCCAACGGCATGTGTTAGACAGTTGCACCCAAACCTCAAGAACAGTCACCCCGCTCCTTCCTGACCCAGCAGCAATCCCAAGCCACCGGCGCTGCTTTGCAAAGCTGAAGGACACCTGGTGGCTCTGTGAAACACTGACTTTGTCACTGCACGTGTCCTTACACAGGATGGCACGCAATGCCAATGAAAGTACAGCAGACGGGGACGATGACAACTTCATTTTCAGCTGGAAAATGTTCACCAGCTGGGACTACCTCATTGGCAACCCAGAGACAGCGGACAACAAGTTTGCATCCATCACCACCAGCTTCAAGGTAACCCTAATCAGCATTTCTATGTCTGCTTCTGGGGATGCTTCCAGCACCTACCATGGCAGAGGTTTAAGGGGAAATCTGGGTACCTGTGCAGCATTTCTCTGTACAAACAGGGTATGGTGCTGAACCATGGCAGCTCCAGCTCCCATGCTCTGGGTCACCCCAACCCCCTTTTCAGGATTTGAAAAAATTTTGTTTTACTTCAGAGCGCAATTCCCCCACCTCATTTCCCTGGGACACGGCAGGCTGTTTGCCACTTGATGTCTTTCAGTCAAACCAGGATGCCTGTATGAAGCTTAGTTTGAACTTATCACAAACTACCAAGTTCAATATAGCCAGAAGAGCATGGGATTGCATTGCACAGGGTGGAAAACCATCTGATGTTCCCTCAGGCTCGGTGCTGCGAGATACTCGCTCCAATTCTGTGAGCACCCCTGCTTTTTCAGGAGTCTATTGTGGACGAGCAAGAAAGCAACAAGGATGAGAACATCCACCTGAGGAGGTTCCTGCGGGTTTTGGCCAACGTCCTCATCATATGCTGCTTGTGTGGGAGTGGCTACCTCATTTATTTCGTGGTGAAACGCTCCCAGACGTTTTCCAAAATGCAAAACATTGGGTGGTATGAAAGAAATGAGGTAAGGGAACTTTGCTTCCAGCTTTCTGCTGTGATAATTTGCCTTAGACATCAGCATAATCGTTGCCACAGCTTGAGGACAGCATCCAAGGCAGAGGGATTCTCTACCAGGGCCCAGAAGTCCCCTTCGGGACCTTTGTACTTGTTTTAGCTGGGAAGAACATTGATCTCACTGAGAGTTTCCAGGGCAAAAAGAGGATAATCCTCTTACAATAAATCACAATAAAAGTCAAAGGGTCTTCAGCACTTACAACACTGACCATTTTCTAAAGAATCTACCTCAAGTTGCATATTAATGCTTACAAACTCTGTTGTATTATAAAGCTCTCTGGGTGTTAGAAACGTCCATGATCAGACATAAAGCTGGACTCAGATCTTTATCATCCATCTTGAATTATGGGAATAAGATTTTAGAACCTGAACTTTATTTGTAAAAATTTTTCTGTCTGATTTTGGAATGAGAATTGCAAATCTTGAAGCTCTTCACAAAAAAAAAAAGTTTCAACCTATGGAAAGGTTTAATTTCAATGTACACTGCATTATCATGTATTTATATATCAAAGCCAAATTAAATTCAAAGCCATGCATTTTCATAATTCCCTCCAAAAACATTAGCAAGGCAGCACTTTCTCACAAAATGCTTTGATTTATTTCAGTGAACTTTTCCCAAAGAAAAAAAATCCTATTAAAAAAAAAAGAGTTTAATGCCTGAGACTTTCCTGGTGATAACTTGAGATCTGAATATATGCAGTTCTCAGTACTGTTCCCTCTCCTGGAAAAAAAAAATGCTTTGATTTATTTCAGTGAACTTTTCCCAAAGAAAAAAAATCCTATTAAAAAAAAAAAGAGTTTAATGCCTGAGACTTTCCTGGTGATAACTTGAGATCTGAATATATGCAGTTCTCAGTACTGTTCCCTCTCCTGGAAAGAAAAGCACAAAAAAAGAGACCTGTGAGTCAGAGCCTTCCAGCAGCTGTACAAACACAGTCCGCTGCAGGCCAACGGGCACAGTACAGCTGTAAAAAAAGACAGAGCCTGCAAGTCATGCCTGAGCTAACGCTGACTTGCCAATGACCTCATTGACCACAGTACAACTTAGCATCTCGCACCATACAGAGGAACAAAAATACCACTAGAACATATTTTCTTGAGCTGCAAAACTGAGTCCTTGATGTACTTCCATTCAAATCCATAATTGCCTATTGCAAAAGCAAAGGTGCTGAACCTGGAAAATAAACATTAGCATCGACTAATTATCTTTATGCACACAAGCCAAGTCTTGCGCTTCCTCCAAAACTAAAATAAGAACCTCGGAGCTGATGCAAGCAGTACTACGAGGGAGTTGAGGAACCTAAATATTCATGAGTCTGGACTGATAGGGAACAAATTCTTCAGAGCCCATCCCTTTGAGACAACAGCAAAAGTGCTCCTGCAAGAGCAAGCCGTGCAACCCAGCCCTGAAGTTTGACACTGTGCTGCCTGCACACTAAGCAAAGCCAGAAGCTGAGCTCGCTTTGGCTCCCTCCCCTTTATAAATCCTTCAGAAATCTCCAACCAGTTGCTGACAGCCCTCGCTCTGCTCAAAGATAGTTGCTCTTGTTACTGTCAGTGGTAATCTCTTTTTCCTCACGTGGCAGGTTGAAATTGTGATGTCCTTGCTGGGCATGTTTTGCCCTCCGCTGTTTGAAACCATTGCTGCACTAGAAAATTACCATCCCCGCATTGGGCTGAAGTGGCAGCTAGGGCGGATCTTCGCGCTCTTCCTTGGGAACCTCTACACGTTTTTGTTGGCCTTGATGGATGATGTCAATGAAAAAGTAAGACCTGAGCCAAAAAGCCACATTCACTAGCATTTTCCAGAGCTGCGGGTGAGCACAGCCTGTCCCTGCAGCCAACAGGGATGATCACCCCCTTTGCACCAGGCGCTTCCACTGTCCCCAGTCCTCTGGAGCATCGGCTGCAGCACCTCAGGGAGACTCACTGACCAGAGGGGTTTCCAGAGAGGCTTCTCTTTACAGCCCTGAAAAGAGAGTGGTTATTGTCTCCTATAATCATGGCATGTTAGAGTGATTTTTTTCTCATCTGACACCGTTTGCAATTTCTATTAACACAGACCTCGAGGATATAGTTTATAATCCTCTTCCCCTACCCTCCCCTCTTTAACGTTATCCTGGTAGCGTGTTGCAGGCAGATAACTGCAGGAAAGGATAAATGTCTAACTGATCCGCAGAAAAAAATGACTCTGTTTTAAGCTGAGAAGAATTGGAGGAATTGCAGTGGTTTGCTCTGCCCTGAAAAATTACGAAGCAAGTGAGGAAGGAGGACTGGGTGGAGGCTCCCTCTGCACACTGTAGTCTTGAAAGAGGTCTGGCTCCTCCACGTGCAGGGAGCAGGCTGCTAGCTCCCCAAAACTCACGGTGCTCCAATCTGCTTTTGGTCTCGAAGGGCTGCTGCTCCCCTGCTCCCAGCAAAAGGGAGGGAGTTTCTGTGCTATTGCCAGCACTGCAACTTTGTTGTAAGCAGGTGATTATATGACAGGTAGTAACAGGCAGGGATGACGGGAGGAACCCAACACCTTGAGTTTCTCCAAACACGTCTTCTGGGACTCCTATTTCCTGACATTTTTGGCTGAGGGGGCTCTCTTTATTGCAGCTGGCTGAAGAAGATGTGGTGAAGAACATCACGCACTGGACGCTGCTTGGCCACCACAACTCGTCCGTGGGGAATGGCAGCACTGCCACGCCACCTCCCCTTGATCCTGCAGATGTGCCCAGGGGGCCCTGCTGGGAGACAACCGTCGGCATTGTAAGAAATTAGTTACGTAGTAAGTCCCGAGGGTGGTTTGGGGTGGGTTTTTTTTTGTTGTTCATGCTTTTAGCATTTCCAAGCTTGAAGTTTTCCTCTCAAATGACGTCTCCTTTCCCGATTCTCACATAGCAGCACCAAGGCAGTGTAAGTCCTTGGCCACAGTTCTCAAGCCATGGTGGTGAAATCCCCAGCTGGAAGCGCCCAGGGCACATGCAGCTCTGCGGCACTTGCCGCGAAGAGCACAGAAGGCTGGGTAGTCTGCAGCCATGCCTGCATCGTGGTTTTGTTCAGATCATGACTGCATCTTTGAAGCAAACCTGTGTTCTCCCTTATTGCTGCACTTCAGTTCACGTTGCAGAGTGGCTTTGGAGCGCAAGTAAAACCCAACCAGAGGACATGCCTTAAGGGAACTCCTGACATGTCCCAACATCTAACGCATCGTGAGGCCATGGGATGAGAGCAGAATTAGGCAAAAATAACCTCCCTGGAATGCATCCTGGGTGGCCTTCAACTCCTCAGAGTTTCACCCCACAAACCCACCCTACAACCTTCACCTTGCACCAAAAAGTTCTGCAGCCAGACTATGCACAACTTAAGTAATTGCTTTTACTTTTTATTGGCTGATATAGATACCTAGGTCTTACCAAGCTACAAGGCTATGAATTACTATGTACACCCAATGGGTCTTCACTAGCCAGTCATTGTCAGTCAAGTGGAGAAAGACCAGCCACCATCACTCCTCAGAAGGGGCTGATCCCCAGTGCAGCTGAGCTGTCATCCTCCACATCTTTGGTTTTTCCCCTCAGACTTGTAAACCTTTTCTTGTAAGTGTTTTTCCTTTTGAATCCTTGGGACATCAGCTATCTCCATCCTACAAGTCTTCTGCCTGCAATCTTACCCTTCTTTTCTTGCACATCTCCCCTCTCCACACTTCCTTGCAGCTCTTCTTTACAACTGAGCAATTTCCTCAGGATTCCACATAAAGGTTGTGGAGCTGAGCCATAGCAGAGCTATGCACAGTTAAAATTACCCTCAGTGCAAGTATGTTTTACACCAGCGTTATTGCAGCATTAGCATTCTGCTTCCGTTTTACGTGCTGCCACAACATATATTGTAGTCAATAATGCTAGCAGCAACTATCAGGGCTACTGGCTGTAACAGAGCTTGTGGTTCCCAAGCACAGAGGTAAAGCCTAGGCACTGCCAAGTGCCATGCCAATGCTCATGGCATGCTTTTCTGAAGGTTACTGTCATATAAAGACAAATGGCTTAATTAAAAAATACAGTAATGAATGCGCTACTGAAATTACAGGAGCTAAATGTTTTTTCCTTGTTTTAAATTGCAGGAGTTCGTAAGGCTCACCGTGTCTGATATCCTGGTGACCTACATAACCATCCTGGTGGGAGATTTCATCCGAGCTTGCTTCGTCAGATTTGTGAATTACTGTTGGTGCTGGGACCTAGAGGCTGGATTTGTAAGTCAGTGTCTTATAGCTGAGAAGATAGAAGTAATTTAGGGCCATTTGGTCAAATGCTACAAACAGATTGGTTTTGAATGCTTCCAGTGGTCCTCCAGTCTTGTCTGATAATTTAATTGATGTAGGTGGTCTCTGCATCACTCCTCTGGATCAATCAGTTCCATCCCAGAAAGAACCCTACAAAAATGCAGTTCTCTCCTCAACCTCAGGACTTTAAAACGTGAAGTTGAGTTAAAAAAAAATTAATCTGATGTTCATTCAGTTGCTATAACCCCAAACCTTTGGGCCCTTCTATACCTCTTCCTAAAGCCCCAGACCTTCCTGTTCATTGCCCACACCACAGGCAGCAGCATGCTTTACTCGCAGCACCATCTCCTGATCGATGCTAGAAGCTGGTGTTAATTCTGCTGTAGCTGAGCAAGGAGCGTTTCCTTCCCCTCTCATGTATGCATAACACAACAGCACTGGACTCTTTGGTATTCATAAAGGCTACATTACCAAAGCAGCCAGTACTGGAGCTGCACAAATACAGAAAAAACTAACGAAAGAAAAAAGTCCATTTTTTCACATAAGAAGTGACAAAACCAGATGGATTCAGATAGAGATGGAAAAACCTTGTAAGATTACAATTATAGCAGTGCACCAGCTGCCTAGCTGTCATCCTGGGAGGGTTTCCAGGAGGAGTCTGGAGAGGAGCAAAGAGGAGGACTTTGCTGTTGTCTACAGGGGCCTGGTCAAGCAAGGGCAATTGGGGTACAAGAGGCATTTTTCTGCCTGTGGAGCTCTTTGTATTTCTTCTAGGGGAGGCAGAGGACATTCCCCAGGGTGGCTGAGGGACTTCAGAGCTCGGAGGACCCCCCTGGCAGCCAAGCAGCATGAAATTGCTCCCATTGCACGTGCTCACAGATCACGGTCTTGTTGAAGGTTCTGGTTTCTGCCTTCTGGCCGTGTCCGCCTCTCACTTTGTTAGCTGCCTTTGATTTTTTTTTTTTTAGATGCTTTCCTCAAAACAACCTTTAGAAATACCACACGGGGTTTTCTTCATTCTTAAGATCTCAATTGTACAAATAGCTGGAAGTCTCTTCTGTCCTGCAAGCACTCCTTGATGTATTAAAAAAAACAAAACAAACCACCAAAACATTTCCTGGACATCCATCCTCCACCTCTCAGTGAAATTTAAGAGCTGCTTTAGGACTCATTCTGCACTTCCCTCTCTCCTTTCCCCTGGTATTCAGCATCAGCTCAGGCAGGCTGCGAGGCGATTTTGCACTGAGAAACAAACCCCATTCAGCATCTGTCAGGGGATGACCAGACTAACATGCTCCAGCAGGTCAGCTTTTGCAAACTAGCAGTCCAACCCAGGGAGCTCAAAAGGAATAAAGTGAGGCCCTTATTTATTAGGACTAAGTAGTAGCATTAATTTGCAGTCCATAACATGAGCAACACTAGAGGACTGGCATTCTGTGATCTGGCAAAGGCAAAACCCTCCTTTCATTCCAAGTGGCTCCCATGGTAGTTACAGAAAGAAGAAAGCACCGTGGGCTTCCCTCCTCTTTTTCTCCTACATCTTTGGGAGATTCGTGTATTCTTCCTGGTGCTATATGTTTTACTCCACTGATGCTCAAGTAGGGGCTGGTTTGTTTTTGTTTTTTTTTCCCCGGCCCAGGAATGAAAAAGCAGTGAAACATGGTTTGGTACCAACCATCTAACCCAACCTAGCCATGGGCACCAGCACAATTGTATATGTGTTTTTCTATTGTATGTAGTCAATAAGTCTCTTGTTTATCCCAGTCCTCTCACACAGAAGTACTCAAGGCAGAGGGCAGCAGGCGCTGAAAGTTGTCTTTTTTTTCATGGGAAAAAGAAGCCAATATTAACTTCTAGCTAAAGATTTGAAGTAGAAATAGACTGGAATCAAAAGAACAAAGAAAACAATGTTTGCACCCATCCCTTCCCAAAGCTGTGACCAGTCAGCTAAGCAATACTCTGACTAGGCTCCTTTTGAATTTTCATCATAAAAGACAAACATCTTAAGCCTTAACTTTATGAACTGCTGACAGTATTAAGTACATGCAAATTGTGCAAAAAACAGACATACTGCACAGGACATTTCAAACATATAAGGGCATCACCCGTTATTTCTTAGAACTGTATTTTCTGCATTTCAGTGAAAAGAAATATTTTTTTTTAAGAAAATGTAAAAGAAAAACTTTACTCAGTTTAATCTGCCAAAAGTCATTGAGTTTTGTGTGCCCAAAACCAGATATATGTAGAAGAAACAGTAGCTTCATCATATACAAATCTAAAACAACAAATACTGTCAATAAATTAGACTACCCTGTTCTGGACTTACCACCATTAGCACCCACATCAGACACGTTGCTCTGTGTAAAGCAGTATTTTAACTACTGCCTAACACAGAGCAAAATGCCACCAGATACCCATCAGGTCCTATATTCCCTCATATTTCTCTCCCTTTGCCCTCTGTTTCTGGTCTTCAGCAGCCCACTGCTGCAAGACCTGGGGACATGGATACATCTGGCATAGCATTTGCCCTCCAGCTCATCATTATCACCATTTAAACATTCACTATTTTACCAGGGTGGAACTGTAAGTCCGTAGCCAGATACACCAGCTGGGGTGTAAAACCTAGTCCCACGCCATGGCTCCTTTGCCCACAGCTGGCTTTATATTAGCAGGGAGAAACAAACACAGGGCAACTCTAAGGACCTCCATATATCTTTCCAATTTTCAGCAAGCCAGGAGAGAAGAAGCAGCAGCCCACAGCGTGGTAGCTCCAATTTTGCTTTCTCTGCACTACTGCTGGTCATTCAAGCAGTACACATGCAGCAGGAGCCCTCCCAGAAATCCCTTTATGCCAGCGTTAAATAAACATCCTTATAGCCAGCAGCAAACAATAGCAGGAACCTCTAGCAACAACACACTCTCCTTTCTTTCCCCATGCAGCCATCCTATGCCGAGTTTGACATTAGCGGCAATGTTTTGGGTTTGATCTTCAACCAGGGAATGATTTGGTAAGATATATCCTTTTTTTGTTTGGTGCTTTTTGTTTGGTTTTTGTTTTGTTTTTCATTATTTACAAAACCTGCCAGTGGAGTTAGAAATCTTCCAGTCCAGCTAGAATAATCTTTGGGTTTTGGTTTCTCTGATTGTTTGTCTTTCTATGCTTGACTATAAAAGTGGAAATTTAAAAATGCTGGCTTACTCATCCAAGAGTAACAGTGGCATAACTGCAGCAGAGAACAGTCTTGCAAACCCTGCCCCACTCTCACTTTAATAAGGTAATTTTTTTTCCAGTGGTAAAAATGTATTAAGATGGTCCACGCGCTGGGGGAGATCAGGAAGGGTTTTGGGGGCACCACGAGCTTACATGTCAATGCAAGGGTGGGCATGGAGCTAGCTGAGCAGGTCGGGCAGGAGAGGCATGTCCCAAAACTGCCCCAAAGGAGAGCAACCAGGAGCTGTTCTGCCCTGCTGTGATGGCACAAGAAGCAATAGGCAACAGCACAAAGCATCCTCACCTCCTCTGGAAGCAAGGTGTCTTTTGCCATGGACTGATGATTTCTGCCTGTTCCCCTACTACAACATCTCTGCAGACTCAGGGAGGTCTCTCCCTGCTGGTTACACTCGCCTGATATTTTCCAAGCTATCCCCAAGTGATTTTTATCACAAACTGAAAATCTTTCTTTACAAGTACTGAGGGGTCTGAGATCTCGCTGGTCCTCAATGCATGGTTACTGTACCCTAACGTGGATGCAGGCAGCTTCTCCTCTGGAAGCACAGGGGTAGCACAAACCAGCCTGCTCGGACTTTATTTGTGGGTAAGCTTGCCACCACATGAATACTTTTTTTCCTTCTTCTGAAAAGAAAAAACCTCCCAGTCTGACCAGAAAATAGCACCTGTCCTTCTCCTTTTCTTTTCAGGATGGGATCCTTTTACGCACCAGGGCTCGTGGGTATAAACGTGCTGCGCTTATTAACCTCCATGTATTTTCAGTGCTGGGCTGTCATGAGTAGCAATGTCCCTCATGAACGAGTCTTCAAAGCATCCAAGTCTAATAATTTTTACATGGGACTTTTGCTGTTGATCCTGTTCCTCAGCCTCCTGCCTGTGGCTTACACCATCATGTCCCTGCCTCCCTCCTTTGACTGTGGACCGTTCAGGTACTAGCGAAACACCCAAAATGCCAGTTTTCTGCTCTGATACATGGGATTATTTTCATGAAGTTAGAAGGCCTGGACTCCAGCAGAGATGGTGAAATGCCTCGATTCTCTGTCTGGTTAAATCCTTAGCAATGTGAGGCAACGGGCCGTGCCCAGCTGTGAGCAACACACGCCAATGAAAGCACCAGAGGACAGCAGGGGTGGGACAGCAGGGTGTAGCACCCAGCAAATAAGCAATGGGAGCACCCCTAAGGCTCTCAGGAACATTGTGGGAGCAAAACAGGGGTCCAAAGCCTCCTTCTAAGACCTTCCATAGAGCCAAGAATTCCCACAGCACGAGATGTATTTTACATGTTGAATTTTGTTGGAAAATAGCAGGAAATGGATAGGTCTGAGCCTGAAGAGTTGCAGCTTCTTTTAATGCCTTTTTTTTTTATTAGGACAGAATCAGCACTGCACAGAGCATTCAGTGGACCAGATTAACATGTCAATAAAGTCTAATTTGATTGAGTAACGCTATTTCCTGGGCCCGCTGAGTCTGACTCAGCAAGGAGCCAGCTTGGAACAAATTGTTCCTGTAGATGCACTGTTGTAGGTTATCCACTTGCTAATGGAGAATGACAATAGAAAGCTAAGAGACTCGGGGGAGAAGGCAAGAGACCAAATTTCCCTCAGTTCTATAACAAGGACAGGTGTCAATGAGCAATGTCAGAAGATCTGACAAGAAGCTTGTTGCACACATGCTACCATTTAGAGATGACTAATCTGCAATGTGAAAGAGCTATTTCAATTCCCAATCAGCCCTTCAAAAGCCACTCAGCCTGATTCAGACCCTTGGCACTCCCTCTCAACTCGACTGAAAGCTCGGCTCTCCTGGGCTTAAGGCAGTTGGTGAAGTTGGGATACCATTTAGCCAAGTTTGTCTTTATTGACTCTCATCATCAGGACAGAGTCCAACACCTTCCTGAGCAGAATCCTGCAAGGTCCCAGGAGGCAACAAGCCTAAAGACGTGGAATAGCACTCGTTGGGTTGAATTCACAGACCCAGAGATGCTGGGGAGAGAAGAAGGTCAATTACGTAATCCAGCCTTTTACAGATTTGTTCTCCTTTCGTACAGAATACTCTCATCTACTTTATCAATCCTGTTTGAAATTACTCTTTCACTGAGTTTCCTATTAAGCAATAATCACAGCTTGCTATTTTTGTCATTACTTAGCAGCTCTTCAAGTTGGCTCATTATTTCAGAAAGCTGGAATTTGCATATGGAAAGTCATCTCTACCATGAAAAGGTCATATTTAACAAGATATGTATGGTTACTGCAGTCTGTAGGTTTTTATACATTTCACAGGGGTAAATAGTCAGAACTCATAAAGGAGCCGCATGTGGAAATAAACGTATTAACTCCAGAAGCAAGCTGGCCTAGCAAAGACTATTCTTATAATCAATGGGGGTGGGGGAGAATGGATGGACCAATAGGTAATTTAAAATGGAGTCATCTCCAAATCCTTGGTGGCCGACAGCAAGCTCACTGAAAGACAGAGGAAACATGCTACTTAGCATCATTAGATGAGAAGTTATTTTGTCCCTCCAGAAAATACCGACACTCCTTAACTGGCTGTTTGTCTTTCCAGTGGAAAGAAAAGGATGTATGAAGTCATTCAAGAGACGATCGAGCTCGATTTCCCACTTTTTGTTGCCAAGACCTTCAGCTATGTGGCAAATCCAGGACTGATCATACCTGCAATTCTGCTCATGGTGTAAGTTTTCTTTGCAATATTACATGCCTGGCTGGGGGGGAGGAGGTTGGAAAAAAAAAAATGCTGGGATGTTAGTGAGGTCTAAATTCAGCTTCTGCTGAGACAACAGCCTGGATTAGGGCAGACACATGCTCCCTACTCCCCTCACCTTCACCCAACACAATTTCCCAAAATTTAATTTCCTGACCCAATTAAACACAACTTTGTAGATGAAACACATTGCTGACAGAGGCCTCGTGGATATCAAAGCTGTCACAGCTTCCAAACAAAAAATTTTCAGTAGCCAGCAGGAAATAAATGGACAGTCTGAGCCTGGTGCCTTTTGGAGAAGCAATTTCTGTCACAGCTGGTGGTATTTACAGAACTGCCAAGCCAGGGCATTCAAAAATTACACATTCCAAAAAAAATGAGGTGGTGTGTTGTGGTTTTTCGGATTTTTTGTTTGGTTTTTTTTTTTTTTTTTTTTTTTCTCCTTTTTCCAAGTAATATATCTGGAATGTTACAGTGTGCTGTCTACGACCCCTTGACGCGCCTAGGACCCGGGGAGTTCTTTTTTTTTTTTTTAAAAAAAAAAAAAAAAGATATTTTTGGCATTGTTCTCAAGGTTTCCATAGCTGTCAAAATGAGCGAGAGCACCATGGCCAGATTTTATAGGCAGCTCTAAACACTCCAGACTAAACAGCGGGAGACAGGGAGAGGGCTGGGGAGTATATTACATATGCTTGCCTGCTCAGACTCTTCCTTGGGCATCCACACACATCGAAGATGAGCCTCTGGGCTGATCCAGTACAGCCACTCTTGGGCACTGTGATCCTTCATTCTGAACAGGTTACACTGCAGGTAATGCCATTAAACTTAATCAAATACAAGTTCCCATGTTAGGAAGTTTCTTATAGAAACAGCCTGAGAAAAATCCCAATTAAACTGAAGATGACCTGTCATCCCCTCCACCTGCCTCAAACTACTTACTCATTTTAACCTAAATAAAGATGATCAGATACTGTAACTCATGCAGACAGATCCTACACTTAGAAGAATCAGATCAGATACACACAGGAGACAAGAAGTCTCATGCTACATCCCTAGTACAGCTAAGCATATTATTATTAGCTCTATTCCTGTGGGCTTCACAGTGGCACTAGCAGACACTACCACAAACACAAGATGAAGACCGCAGAACTAATCCACCCCAAATGGATGACCTTTACAGAAGGGCTGCAGGTCAGGTTTCTGAGGCTTTGATGTAACCCCAAAGAAAAGGTGGTGGGAGAGTGGTAGACCTTTGAAAATAATGTTTTGTTCAGTGACAGTCTCCTGCCCTTTCCTCCACTGACAGCAGGGACAGGGAACAGCACAAATTGAGTTTATCTGCTGAAGAGGCACCTTTTATCACCCCTTCCCAGTTTGGGCTATTCCCACACCACAGCCTTCCCATCGGTCTGTCTCTCCTCGAGGCACCATTTTGTCTCTGCCCCGATCCCCTCTGCAAACTGAGAGATACCCTATGTCCACATTACCTAAAACTTCCTCGTTTCCCACCCAGATACACTGCCTGTGTGCCCTTTGAGGATATTAGATATTTTTGATTTCCATTTGTTTAGCTACCAAGGGAGTCACAACCCTAAAAAAGTGGGTGCCCCCATGATGCCTGGACAAGTCAGACCTATAGCCCCTTGGCAGTAGCTCTTGCATGCCCCGAGAGCGTCAGGCGTCTTGCTGAAGCACTGCTCGCTATGTGCGCGCAAACTTTTCCTGGGATAGTCCCAGGCAAAATTATAGCTACCCCACAAGGACGTTTCCTAAGGCTTGGGTCCTTTTCTCATCTCAGAAACTTTACAATTATGGGACTTAAACTTAGCACACCATCTTTGTACACCTACAAAAATGACCTAAATATACAGGGAGACAGAATCTAATTAGCCCAATTAAAATTTTGCCAGAAGAGCAAGATAACACTCCTTTTGCTTACAGTCCTGTAACCAATGGCTACCAGTGGCCAGAAACTTAGGTTTATGTCTCTCACCATTTTCTCCAGAAAAGATAACTATAAATCATACACAAGTCTCCAGTTTCCTGCCTTCTCCCTGGAAGTCTTCAGCTTCTGCTGCTACTTCTGCCGTGGTGCAGACAGGTAGACAGGGTCAAGCTGGAGCTAGTCCTTACGCTGATTCCCATCCAGCTTGCCAAGAGATTAAAACCAGGGAAATGCAACTGCTGGAGCTTCATTTGGTCCTGATGAGCAGAGAGCCAGCAGCTCTCAAAGTAGCATGCAAGGCAACCTACAACACAGCCTAAATAACAAATAACCTCTACAAAGAGCCACAGGTGGATCGTAAATGGACAGTCTGTTGATTTTGATGGCAGACACTCAAAAAGTGTGTTTTCCATTTCAGTGGACTGCATTAAGTAATTTTCTCAAGTCATGATAATCCCCTCTCTTTTTCCAGGTGCAATCCAAAATGCATCTTCTATTTATTTCTGTTTGTGGCTTTTAGTCCCAGACAACAATGGGGTCCAGCAGGTGACATGGGTGCCAAACTTACTGTCATGTTTCTAGCTGCCTGAGGACAAGCGAAAAAGGAAACAGAGCAAGAAGCAGAGATAGTTTGCATGTAGGCATATAACCTAATCCTGTTTGTGTCAGGAGCAGGATTTCAAGCCATGGCTTGCAGAGCTTCCTGGCAGAAGCTAGAAGCACCTTACTGCATCAAGGGGAAGGAAAAAAAGATTCAAAATTACTGTGCAGTCTAGAGGAGGACAGTGACCCACATTGTCTGCCTGTCAGGGAGCAGTAAATCAGAGAGGAGGGGTGCCAGGGCCATGCAGAATCCATGTTAAGCAACTCAAGCATGAGGGTGCATCCCCAGGCTCATTTTAGAGGCAGGTAGATAAACCACCCCATTAAAAGTGGATAAGTGCCATTTACTTGAGTTCCTAGCAAAGTTTACAGCTCTTCATGCTGCTGCTCACAGTCAGACCAGGACATGGCTTTGCTCTGCCTTTTCTGGGAACTGGCACTAGCAGTGTGAATCAGGAATTCAACAGCAAATCCAGCACACCTTTAGGACCTGCCCAGGACACTGGCATGCACCTTGGAGGATCACCCAGGCTGCTTCAGCACTGCTGCATCTTGGCCCAAACAAGCCAGTCCAAATCTGCCTGACTACCTGCGGGTTTGGACTGCAGCAAATGCATCACCCCAAATCCCCTTTCTGTGGCACTGTCCCTTTCCCCTCTCAATCCCAAGACCCCTTAAGGACAGCTTAATCTTGGACAAACCCAACCTCCCTTGAACAATAAACCTGCAATAAACCAAGGACAGAGAAAACAGGCTTAGCCTGCAGAGAGCAGACTCATATCTCACAGAGTTTGGGAGAGGGACCCAGTGAGTTCACTCCCTTCCCATCAATGCCCCGTTAAACACAGGAGTCAGCAGGGGAGGAAGCTGTGGTGGTTGGAGATGATGCTGGCTGCTAATGCAGGGGGTGAGAAAGGACTGAAAAAGGAATGGGAATAGATTTGCTCAGTTACTCAATGAACTCGAGAAGGCAGCTCAGAAACGGAGCGCGTGGCATCCCAGATGGCTTTGAATAGGCAGATCCAGTTATCTTTATGAGGCAGGGGTACCCCAGGCACTTACATCCTGGCTGGTTACAACAAAAATGGCAGAGCAGCACCAAAGCCCTGGATTACAAAGAAATGTATTTCCTAGGCAATGAGTTTGACAACGTAGAAGAAATAAAACTATTGCATCCTTCGAGAAGACCAAAAATAACAATTTTCAAACTCACCAAGTCTGAATTTTGGGTTAATACCAGGCAAAAGGAAGCAAATGTGTTTCCTCCAGACAGACCCCTGCAAAAAGCCTCAAGAAAGGCCATCCAAAGTACCCCCTCCTGATCTCCCACCTGGAAACCAATATGCTGGTACATGGCGCCTTGCTGGGCTTAGAGTTAGGCACTCTGCTGGCACAGTCCTCAAGCCTGGTTTCAGGATGCTGAACCTGGGCTGGAGCCACACAAGCAACTGTCAGGACGCCTGGTTTGGTGGGGTTTTTTTTACAGTCTCTTTTTTTTCTTTTACAAGAGAATTTTCTACTTTATTTAAAAAAAAAAAAAAAATCTATAGTGATGAACTGAATGGTTGGTGCCTTCCCTGGGTATGGCTCGGAGTTACCGAGCAGATGATGTTTATAATTTAGAAGAATAAAAGCACTCTACAAAAGCAGGAGGAGACATTTTTGACAATCAAAATATTACTGGCTGGCAAGTGGCAGCAGTAGCGAGACAGCCCCAGACACTTGGGCATGTTTTAAAACACGCGCGTCGCCGTGAGCCAAAGGCTGGCTGCCAGCACACCCTCTCCCATCCCGCTCGCCTTTCAGTTCCCTCCAGCTTGGCTTGTTTTTCCCCTGGCTTTGGCATGTCCTTTTTGCAGAAAAAGGGATCAAAACAAAAACCAGTGGCTGTGCTTCAACCTGGCTCCTGCTCGCCCTTGGTTCCCATCTCTGCTCGCTCCCAACAGCCCCTTGTCAGGCTGCAGGAGGCAGCCAGTCTTAGTCGAGGGGGGAAGGCAGACTGTGCCTTGAAGACTGTTGCCTGCCACTATTTTCCTTGGTTCCTCATTTTTTTTTCTTAGTTCTCTGTGCGACATAGTGTCTGTTTTGATTTTCCTTTGAGCCATGGCAGAAAGCCATGTGTTTTACCAGTTGAGTTGGCTTTCACCCAGGTAATGAGTTGAAGGGACTCACCACCAAGGAAAGACCCAAGGGCCAAGGCTAGCACAAAGGAAGCAGAGGGGGCCCGTGGCCAGCCAAGGCAGAGGCAGGAGGGCAGGATGGTCATTTTTTCTTCTATTTGAGCAGAAGTGAGCTACTGGACTGGCTCAGCCCATCTTACCTGACCATGCCACGAGGCAGCCTGAATTTTTCCTAAGCCTTGAGCCTCTAAAGGCAGTTTGGAGACAGCTAGTGGGAAAACTAGGTGTTAGAAGGTAGGCAAAAATTAAATGCTTCCTCCCTGTGAAACTTTCTCTTTCTGCTGATCCTATCACTACAGCAACACATTTGTTTTTGTAGCCTCGCCATCTATTACCTGAATGCTGTGGCTGAAGCATATCAGCGCGCCAATGCAGAGCTGAAGAAGAAAATGCAAATGGTAAGTATTGATCTGGCAAAACCATCTTTGAAATACCATGCACTTCAAGTTTGATGTGCAACATATGCTTTTAAATTGCTCTTCACTTCTGAACATATTAGTGATACAAGGGGAAGACGCATTTTATGCTTGTTCAGTCCCCTCTGATGGCATTTAATGGCTGACTACAAAGAGTGGTCACATCCCATAATAGGCTGCTATTTCATACAGCAAAACTACAGTGAGTTTTCCCATAAATTGTGCTTTCCACCTACAAAAATAAGTTACCTCAAAGTTCAAGTAATGTTTTGGAGCCTGAGATTTCCCAGGGACAGTGATAAGGCTATCAAAACCACAGCCAGGTTTTGTACAAGCTGAAGAGCAAAGAGCCATAAATAACAACATGGCAATCACATTTTTTTACCAGTAATTTTCAAAGCACTTTACAAAGGAGGTTGGTGTCTGTCTCTGCCATGCAGATGGGAAAAGCAAGATACAGACAGATGCAATGACTCAAATTAGCCGGGTAGGATTTGGACCTTATGGTGTCCAGAACTGGGAGAGGTTGCAACACGCAGAGGACCATTACTCAGGGACCCCTAAATTAATATTAATTAGGTCTGGCAGCAGAATACCTGCAAAAGCGCAGCTCTGCTGAGATAACGAGTCTCAATGAGAAACAGCAAAGGTGTCCTGATACCAGGGCCTGTGCTGGTCTGGCAGCACCAGTTTCCCCCCGAGCTTTCCTGGTGAGTCTCTAACCCTGTGCTGTTTTGTATTACATAGATGTGTCCAAAGTATCAATCCTTGCATCAGGAGTGGATACGATGCCATCAAAGGGCTGGTATCGGCCATTTTACTGGTACAGGGCAGGATCCAAGCCAAGGAAGCAACGCCACATCAAGCAGCCATTGCATAAAGCAGGGATCAGTGCAACATTAAAAGTGGGCATGCGAGCACTGAGAAATGAGACTCCATAAATGACATCCGAATGCTCAGATTCAGAACTGATCACTCATGTACGTGGCTTAAAATAAGGGTCTTGGTGCGTAGGGCATCCTCAAGTATTGCAAGAATTGAACATATGCTACAGCACACTGGGACTTAGAGGCACATAGTCTATTTCATGCTGCACGAACTGGTTGTGATCAGGGTTTAAGGGAGCACAAACCCCCTTGGAGGGGTCACAAAGCAGGGCCCAGTGCTACCCAAAGGAACAGAAATATCTCCAGACAAGCACCTGTCTTTGCACAGACTTTATGTATCTTTGTCCCACAGGCACCTGTAGGTTTTTTGAGGCACTGAAGCCTGGCAAAAGGAGGGGCAGAGGAAAGGGAGGGCATCAGCACAGCCCCACTGCTTAGAGAGCGACGGATGGGAGCTGCCTAGTCATGGTAGGGCTGTGGTCAGCAGCTGAAACCCACCAGAGATTCCTGCATGATGACCTGCTGACCTCAGAGAGATCTGCCATGGCTGCCCCCAAAGTCTGCCAGGTTTGCTGAATGGATGGAGGCTGCTCTGTGGGTTGGGACCTCTCAGCTGTAGCAAGGCCACAAGCCGCCTTGCATTCTGTGGCTCCAGCACACAACTCCCTCCATTAGCAGATCACCCTTTTGGGAGGAGGGATGGAGCTGGAGTGGAGTCCATCCAAGCTTTCTCACTACGTAAGAGAGGACAGCCTCTCCCTTCCCTGTCCAGCATGCTTGCGCTGAGCAGAAACAGCCCCCAGGTACTTTCCTCCCTCTGCCGCCCAGAAGGAAATCTTTCGAAGACCTAAACTTACGCAAGTAAATCAAAGACAGCCCTATAGCCCATCCCCATTCTGCTATGCCATCCTCCTCTTCCTCTGGCATCTGTCACTGACACCCTCCCTCCCAAGAGGTCCACATTTAAAACAAACCAAACCCCAGGGAGGGCAGATTGGCAGTTGCAGAAACACACAGACAGCCTAGTATACCTAAACCACATTATCAGCAAGTGCTTTGCCCTAACAAGAGCAGAGCCATCACTTCCCAGGCTTTTGGCCCTG